AGGGGAAAAAATAGTCATTTTAAAGTACATTTGCCTTTGTTCCTTTAGAGAGTAACTTTTGGGGAGAGTCTCAGAGAAAACAGGCTCCCTTAGGTTCTCTCTTTTCATTCATAATAATCTCTCTTTGATTTATAAGTGAGGAGACCTTGAGGGGACATTGCACAGAGTTCTGAAAGTGGATGATTGAAGAACAGAGGGAGCTTTCTGTAACTTATAACTCAGGAACTTGTCAAATTCTGTACTTCCACTCGGTTTTCCTAGGCAAAGAGTGCACATTCTGTTCCAGGATCCCTTTCCACATGGCAACAAGGCAAAATCTCATCATTACAGATTTCTTTGGTGGAATTAGTGAAAACCTTGGAATTTGCTGAGGATTGAATGGATAATCCCAAATAACTGAAGTTGGATATTCTGTTTAACTGACAACTAATTTTTTTTCTTTCACAACTCATTTAAAAACATTTAAAATGTGCGTAGTTGGACAAGCAACAATTTGATCCACAGAGGCTTTGGGTCACAATATTGGTTCCCTGCTGTTAGTTCTTGTGAAGGCTTTTACTCTTCTGGGTCTTAGTTCCTCCATCTGATAAATGAGGGGGACAGAAAACAGGATTTCAAACTCCCTTCCACATCTATAATTCTGTGTAATATTTTCATTTTTCTGAACAGGCTAACCCAAATTTAGAAGAAAATTAAATATAATTAGATAATTTATTTATAAGATAATTATAGTTCATTATATTCGATCTCTTATACTACAACTCATTCCAGCAGTGATTCTCACTGTACAGGAATTGAAGAAAGCATTGAGGGTCATGTTGAAAACCATTAATAAAGGAAGGTTACTCAGAGAAGGGGGAACCCTCCCTCCACTCAACACCATCACGACCCAGTCTTTAATACCTTTGATTTGCATTTCTCTGATAATTAGTGATACTGAGCATTTTTTTTTCATGTGCCTATTGATCATTTGTATTTCTTCCTTAGAGAATTGCTTGTTTAGGTCTTCTGCCCGTTTTTGGATTGGGTTGTTTGTTTTTTTTCTTAGTAAGTCATATGAGCTGCTTATATATTCTGGAGATCAAGCCTTTGTCAGTTTCATTTGCAAAAACTTTCTCCCATTCTGTAGGTTGCCTTTTTGTTTTACTTATGGTTTCCTTTGCTGTACATAAGCTTGTTAAGTTTCACAGAATGTTGTATTCTTGATGCTTAGAAAACTGCCTGACAATCATAGGTACTCAATAAGTGATTGCTGAATTAATGAAAGTGACAAATAAGGAATAGACACTAATGTTCTGAAACTCAGGGAGATAAGGGATTATAGTGGAGATAGAAGATCAGGCGAAATTTATTGAAAGGAGTAAGAATTGGTAAGGTTTGAGAACTGAGTAAGACTAGTCAATAAATAGGTAAACAGTGAATTCCAGGGGAAAAAAAGTGTCGAAAAAAGGTATGAGAGAGTAATAAACATGGTGTACTTGAGGGCAGCAGGTGGACAGAAATTTTGTAGATTATGACATCAGAATGAATGGTAAATCCAAATTGCAGAGATTCTTGAACACCAGGTTCAGAATCAGCAATGTTAAGAATGTTCCTCCTGTGATTTTCAACTTCAGCTACCTTTGAGCCTTTTAATCAACGTCTCATATTAAGCTTTTGGGTGAAAGTAACACAGGCTGTCCTACCACCAACTTGTTTTCTCTCTTCATCTCCCAGTGCAAGTATAATTTTGCTGTTAGCTTGCTTGGGTCTGGCCCAGTGTATAAGGTGATTCTAGGTTATACCTATCTTCTGTGGTCGGAACAGTCATGTTGTCACCAGATCACCATCAAGGATAGCCAGGACTATCCTTGACGGTGATCTGAATGTTTTTTTCTAGTTTTTGTGGTTAAGTTGGGGGTCACATAGGGTAAAGGAATTTAAATGAGTGTCATCCTTATCTCACAACTTACAGAAAAATTTAAAAATGGCAGAGATATAAATACTCTCAAGAATCACTTCCCCCTCTATACTTTTAAATGAAACTCATTGAAATAAATAAAAGAGTTCACTATAACTTTGTTTTTCCCAGTCAGAGAAAAGCAGTTTCTTTGGAAAGCAACTGTCCGGGCCCTTACTATCACATTAAAACCAAGTAACCACAAGATCACATGGGCTCTAACTACCTTTCCCATATATTTGGCTCCATCTTTTCTTGTCATAGACCACCTGACATAATTGTTCTGACCCAGGACTTGGGAGCACATTTTTGAAATGTGCACACTTATGGTTTGGTGTATTTTAACTGATGGTGGAGTTTTGTTTAAAAACCTCCCTTCCCCTGTTGTTTCCTTTTGTGAAGCTCCTGTATTTGCTTTTCTACTGTTTCCTTCCCTACCATACCAGCACACCCTCAGTCATTTCTCTTTTTCTTTTTTTAACATATCAGTTTTGTTTAATATATATTATGTATTTAATTAAGTTTAGTCAGTTTACAATGTTGTGTCAATTTCTGGTGTACAGCACAATACTTCAGTCATACATGAACATACATATACTCATTTTCATATTCTTTTTCACCATAAGTTACTACAAGATATTGAATATAATTTCCTATGCTATACAGTATAAACTTGTTGTTTATGTATTTTATATATATATTAATTAGTATCTGCAAATCTCTAACTCTCAATTTATCCCTCCCCACCCTTTTCCCTCCCTGGTAACTATAATTTGTTTTCTATGTCTGTGAATCTGTTTCTGTTTTGTAAATAAGTTTTTTTCTTTCTTTTTCTTAATATTCTACATATGAGTGATAGCATATATTTTTCTTTCTCTTTCTGGCTTACTTCATTTAGAACGACATCCTCCAGGTCCATCCATGTTACTGCAAATGGCATTATTTTATTATTTTTTATGGCTAAGTAGTATTCCATTTAATCAATCTACCACAGCTTCTTTATCCAGTCATCTGTTGATGGACATTTAGGCTGTTTCTGTATCTTGGCTATTGTAAATAGTGCTGCTATGAACATTGGGGTGCATGTATCTTTCTGAATTAAGGTTCCCTGTGGATATATGCCCAGGAATGGGATTTCCAGCAATCCCATTCCTGGGCATATATTCATTCAGTCATTGCTCTTGAGTTTCTTTTACACCAGATCAAGAGACCACTATGATTTGCACATGGAGATGCTCTGCATTTGTGTTTTCTTTGAACTAAGATAGTTAAGTTATATAACTCTGTCTTACAGTTAGTGATAGGGATTTTCTCCTTAAAGTAGCTCACTCCTAAACATTTGAGTAGGAAGCCGGACTAGATGGCAAAAATCCTTTCCAACTCTAAGACAGGAATCAGAAAACTGCAGCCCACAGACCAAATCTTCTGTCTGTGTTTGCAAAATAAAATTTTCTTGGCACCCTCACCCATTCATTTATAGATTGCGTGTGGCTGCTTTTGTGCTACAACGACAGTTGAGCATTTGGAACAGGGACAGTACAGCCTTCAAAGCCTACAATATTAACTGTCTGACCATTTGCAGGAAAAGTTTGTTGACTCCTGTTCTATGGCCTCATACTTTTTAAAGCGGCATCCCTTCTCTGTGCCTCAGTTTCCTCATCTGTACAAGAAGAGACTGTGGCAATGAACTCTATGTCTCTTTCCAAATCCTGAGATTCTGAGTTTCTTTTGAAACTCACAAGTTCTCAAACTGACACAACAACAACAACAAAAAAAGGAGAATAAAAGTGAAACAGATTTTCCTTACTATCAAAAAGGAGCCTTTGCTATGTATATTTCCTCATCTGGCTGTGATGACAGCTTTTATTGTCAACATGATTTTTTTTATTAGATACCTGGATTTCTCCCAGGGACTGGTTGCACAACAAGTAAAGGGATCCCAATTCATAGGCAAAGAGAAGCAGAGAATACAGTGGAAGCTTAGGCTGCTTTCTGTTCACCTGTTTGCTCTGAGGAATTCTGAATTGGAAATCAGATGAACAACAAGATGATTGTTGAGAATCTGGCTGGGAGGCATTAAAATGGAAATCTAGCTCTTCTCTTGGTGCCCTATCTCTGATAAGCCCCTGAAGTACTATAGCAGAACTTTAAATGGGGTACCTTTTAAATGTGCTGTCCTGTCTTTCCAAATTGCCAAGCAGTATGAGGCCAGACTGGGCGTACAAGGGCATTTGAAAATACATTACATAAAATGCCTTTATTTTCTTCAACTCTAGCCTGTAGCTATCATATTTTGTAATTTATAGGCATCAAATGAGCCCTGCTCAAGCTGATTGATTTTTTTGTAGGGTGAATTTGGATTATTCACAATGCATGTCAAAGAAAGCTAACGGAAACTTTGCAGTTCCATCATTCTAATAGACTTGATTCAGATGGTCTGATTGTCTTACTGCCTGCTAAAATCTTACATAATTCCATGTCTGAATGGATAGGGTAGCTGAAGAAGCAATGATTGAAGATGAAGAGAGAGCAAAGTGTTTTGCAATTTTCTGATGGTACAGAGACTTTCAATGTCACTTTCGTCAGTTGCTGCACTCTTAATTATCCAGGGGCTTCTTTTTCTTTCTTCCTTTTAAATGATATTTACTGAATTGATGCTTCAGTCAGACTGTTAGGTCTTCCTTATAGGGATATGTGTGTATGCCTGTGTGTGTGTGTGTGTGTGTGTGTGTAACGGGCAGGTAAAGAAAAGACGTGAGTCAGAGGTAGAGATAAGTGATGGGGAATTCAAATAGGCTTAAATACATAGTTACTGTCTATTTCTCTTCAGTAGAAGTATCTTAAGTGTTTTTTTTATATATAAAACTCTACAGTAATGTCTTTTACAGGTTAATAATCTATTTGAAAATAAAGAGGAGGGAGGTTGCTGTTGCATTTTGTAGTATGACTTTTGGGTAGAAAAGAATTATTTTATGTATCGACACTCTCCTTGTTTGGACAGCCAGGACACAGTACTTCTCTGCTATCATCTTAGTCTGTTTTCTCCTTTCTTTTCCTATAGCTCAACAGAATTCACCAAAAATCCATGAAGGCTGGTGGGCATACAAGGAGGTGGTCCAGGGAAGCTTTGTCCCAGGTAAATACACATATATTCTTGTCACTTTATTTTTAAGAAAAGAATTTGAATGATATATAATACTATTTCCAGAAATTTGCATTTGCTATCCAGCATTGAATGTATTGCAAAAGGCAGCAGAGTCTGACTTATGTGTTTGGTGAACACTCCATTTAGAGAAAATTTATTAAATGAGTAGTAATTTAACCAAGACCATGCTTTTCCATCTGAGCTTACATCTTAAGATCTTTCTATCTACAGGTGGCTGTTAGGGAGTGGGTAATGGAGAAGTCAGCATTGAAGTTCTATATGCTGAAATTTGGTTAAGTGACAAAGAGCCATTTTTTTTTAATGTTAATGAAACAGGAAGTCTGGAAAGACTGACCATGGCAACTGGCAACAGGCTTGCTGGGATGCATGCTGTCACTGATGTCACTTCAATAGCTTTCATGATCAAGACTTAGCAGATTGGGCCAAGTACCAACTAAAAATAACAGGCAAAGTGGATGCTGTCAGCATGGGGAGAGAGGACTGAAAACTGGTTAGAGCCAGAAACATACCGTAACTTTAGTTTTGAGGCAAGGTAGAGGGTCCTTGTCTTCCCCCAACAGCTCTTATCCTAATCATGGTCCTCATTCTTCTTGAAAGACTTTGGAGGGAGAGAGGCAAGAGAAAGAGTGTGAATGTTAAAGCAAAGGATGGAAGGGAAGGCAGGTGAAATATTTCAAAATATTTTTAACTGCTTAGATGTGAGACAGTAAGAAATAAAGCTCTCAAGAGGAGTCAGTGTGTGGTTCCAACTCAGGCACTGAAAACAGAGGGCTCCAAGTGTCACTTGAGGTCTTTGTAGTTGGCGGCAGCTGGCAAGAGCAGTGACCCAAGGTCACTTGACCTAATTCATTCTTGGCTGCTATGTCTCTTTTTCCTGTTTTTCTGTAGAAATCATTACATTAGCTGCGCAGAGCTAAGCAAGTTGCTAAACCCCCCTGAGCATGACTTTTCAAATTTGAATTGTGTGACATATATATGTACTCTTGGAACTTCTCAACAGGAGGCAAGCAGGCATGGTAAGGGAAAGTAGATGACCCAGGGAAAAGCCAGCTGACTGCCGTAAGTCAGTATATTAACTTGATAAATTTACTATGGTACATTTATTCCTTGGCCCAGTGGGCATAGAAACTGGATTTGATTAATTCACTCATAAATGATCAGGTTTCTAACAACACTCTTATAATAACTTAACTGACACAGCTGTGTTCATATGGCATGATATAGATACGTGACATTTTGTACTTACAAGTGGGGGCATCTCTTTCCAGTGGATAGAATCCTTGTGTATTTTTTTCTGAGGAATCTGCTTATTATATTCAAGATATCCCAGAAATTACATTTATAAGTACATTTCTGTTCTTTCTGATTATTAAATTTGAGCAAAATAGGGCATTCTGTCAGATTATGATAAGTCTTGTTAAACTAGTAATATCCTCTGTAGTGACTGAAATGCTCATTGATAACACTGGATACGTTCTGAAAAAATTTGCTTTTCTGCTCTATAGTTTTTTGATGTTCCTCCCTGTTGCTGCATTCTTTTTTTACATGTATTCAAAGCCGTTTTGAGTTGATTGTTGATTCTAAGACAACCACAAGGAAGAAGTTTTATCTTTCCTTTAAGTGTTGATTTAAAATCATTTAGCTTTCCCTCAGTTCCAGTTTTAAATGAGATAATATGTATAAAACCTGCTACATGGGGAGCAGTAAGATGTGCAGTGCTGAGCACGGACTTGAGTCTGGGCTCTATAGCTTCCCTATGGCAGAACTGTCAGCGAGTTGCCTACCAACTCTCAGTCCCCTATGTTCTTCGTCTGTTAGAATGGAGATTAGGACCAAATAAACCTTATGAGGTTTTCTGAGGATTAAATTACATAATGTAGGTAGAGTGCTTATGGTAGAGTCTGGTGCATGGTGTGAGTCAGTGCATGTCAGTTCCTGTTGGCATAACTATCATTATTTTATCAGTAACAACATAACTACATATTTTATACTTCTCTTTTTGAGAAAGGCAGAGAGCTGTACATTGGAAAGGGTAATAATTCAAGTGATGGTCTCCCATGATACTAGAACTTGGAAAGTGCTTAATAAATGTTCCTTGAACTTGTAAGCTCAAAAACACTCTCTACACAGTAGTGGCCATTGGAGAGGTAACTTACCATACTCCGGATTTAACAGCCCCAAAGCCCTTATGCTTCTTGGTTAAGAAAACCGGTAACTGATGATCTCACTTTCTAAACTTTTGGAAACTCCAAT